GGCTGCCGGACTCCACCCCTCCTTCTGGTCTGGATGAACATGTCTATTTTAACTCCTTGTTTGTCCTACTTCCATATAGTTCAATTTTCTGTCAGTTCTGGTTGTTATTCTGTTTCTAAACTGTTGTCCCTATCTTGGTTGTGCAAGGAGGCACAGTGTGTCTACCTACGCCTCCATCTTGGGCAGAAGTCCCAATTTTATTGATTGATTGATTGAATGAATTTAGAGAGAGGAAGGAAGAGAGAAAAACATCAATTTATTGTTCCACCTACCTCCACACTCATTGGTTGACTCTTGTATGTACCCTGACTAGGGATTGAATCTGCAACTTTGGCATATCAAGATGATGCTCCAACCAACTGAATCACCTGGTCAGGGCTATCAAAAGCAACTTTAAAATGGCCTTAGTATCCCCATAAATGGTCACAGTGGCCATCAGGGCAGCAGGATTATAGTTGCTTACAGTGCAGTGCAGGCAGGGTTTCTGTCAGGGTGCCCGGGGCCAGAGCTAAGACTGGCTCCCTGCTCAGCAGACTCTGGCAGGCAGGCAGGCAGGTAGGTGGATAGGTGGCTGGCTCCTCTCATATCTTTGGCACAGGAGGAGGGCTCTGGGAGTACTGATTCTGGAAAGACATTGAGTATTCTGGGTTCTGTCTTGGAGGAGAAGAGCTGTTTTTTCCTTAATATCTCCTGACTCGAGGGTCCTTGGAGAATGGGAATGAAGTGGGGAGGAGAGCCCTTGAGCAGGTGCTGGAGGAGGAATGAGAAGCTAGTTTGGTATCTGGCACAAAGTGCGCACTCAGTAAATATTTGTGAGTGATGTGTGGTGTAGTTCACGGAGGGTCTGGAACCAGCCACGCAAGTCAGAATTCTGGTTCCACCACTGACTCTGTGCTTTAGGTGCTTCTTTAATGATCCCAGACTCCAAGGACACAAGGGCCTCCTGCACCAGGCAGTCATCTTCTTTTCAAATACCAGAGGCCACACTCCCCTAGTTTAGACTTAAAAAGAAATGTCTAGCTCACACAGCTGGGAGGGGCACTGTGGCAAAAGCCAGAACTTTGGGGCAGCATTCAATGTCTCCGAGACCAATTTTTTACCTGTCTTTGCCTGACTTCTGCAGACAGGCTCTGTCCATGTGGAGGGGAAGGTAACTGTTTGCAGCCCAAACTCAGGTTTGGAAAGGGGCCTTCTCAACATCAATAAATCCATCTCAGAGAAGGGTTTGATTGGTCCTGCTTTGGTCCTAGCCAGAAGTGGGTCACATGCCTGGTCCTATGCAGGGAGAAGTAGGTGGTGTTACCAGGAGGAGGGGAATGGGAAAGCCAGGTAAGCAAACAAAACAGCAATCACAGTATCTATAATACCTAAAGGTCGCATGTACGTGTGTGTGTTGGGGAAGCCCATATCAGGGGGAGCCCCTGAACATGGAGTGCTCAGGTGGGACCAGAATCGGGCTGGACCTACTCACAGTTAGGATTATTACTCGGTGTAAGGCATTTAGCCCCACTGTGTCAGCCTCCGGTTTGGCTAAGTATATCTCATACACATCATGTCTCATCCTCACAACAATCCAAAGAAGTAGATGTTATTAGCCCCATTTTAAATGTGAAGAGACAGAGGTTAGGCTCATGCAAGCAGTGAGTGGGTGAGCCAGGTTCAAACCTGGGTCCTTTGGACTCCAGAGTGCCGGTTTTCCCCAAGGTTGAGAAACCACAGCTGAGAGCTTGCTAGGTGGTTGCAGAGCACACTCTGGCCCCGGCAGGTGTGGTCTTGCAAGGGTGGGTAACTGCAGCTTTCCTGTCCTTCCCCGCTACGCACTTCCTTGGCTCTCCCCAGTCCTACAGATCCTTCCTGGCCAATGGAGACAGATAACCACTCTCAGTAATATATGGGCTTCTTCAGCAAATAGCATTTCTCCAAGACTTGACCCCCCCGTTGGTGACCCTGCCTGGAATTTTCTAGAGTCTGGCCTGCTGGGTAAGAGAAGGTGGGGATGAGGTGTGTGCAGGGACACTGGCACGGCAAACCAATCAAGAGTATCGTCTCTCACCTGCTGATCACAGACTTATCAGCAGCCGCTCACTGTCCTCCCCACTTCTCTGCTGCCCTCAACCCATTCAGCACTTCACAGCTGGAGCTCTCCTCCTAAAATACCATTCCTCCTGCGCCCCCCTGCTCGGGGCCTCCACGGCTCCCCTTCGCCCACACTCATTACAGCAGCCTCCCAGGCTCCTCCAGACCTACCTCCCCACCCTCCACCAGCGTTTGCAGCTTTCTCACCCACCCTACCCCTTGCACTTGGGAAGGCAACAGACTTGGAACAGTAGGATAGCATGAACCATAAGTGGGTCCTTACATTAATTAAAATTAATTACATTATTATTAAATATTCAGTTCCTGGCCCTGGCTGGTGTAGCTCAGTGGATTGAGCGTGGGCTGTGAACCAAAGTGTTGCAGGTTCGATTCCCAGTCAGGGCACAAGCCTGGGTTGCAGGCCATGACCCCCAGCAACCGCACACTGATGTTTCTCTCTCTCTCTATCTCCCTCCCTTCCCTCTCTAAAAATAAATAAATAAATAAAATCTTTAAAAAAATATTCAGTTCCTTAGTCACACTAGTCACATTTCAAGTGCTTAATAACCTCTCATGGCTACTGTCCGAGATAACATGGATGTAGAATGTTCCCGTCATTACAGAAACTTCTGTTGGGCAGCACTGGCTTTGACACGTCTCTTTCCAAGGAAGCCCAAATCAAGGAATGTTATCAGCCCTGACGGGGTGGCCCAGCTGCTTTGAGCATCATCCCATACACCAAAAGGTCGCTGCTTCCAAGCCAGGGCACACGCCTAGGTTGCAGATCCGTGCGTGGAAGGCAACCAAATGTCAGTATCTCTCTGTCTGTCTCTCTCCCTTCCTCTCTCTTCAAAATCAATACGCACAACCTCACGTGAGGATTTTTTTTTAATTTTTAAGGAATGTTATCAGCCTTAAAGAATCTAGGGTAGATTTGACCTATTCTTTGACTCAACAGACATTTGGCATCTACTATATTCCAGGCCCCGGATGCACAGCAGTGGGGCGAGTGAAAAGGCCATTGCTAGGGAGTGTCCTAAGTGCCTGCGCCCAGGCTGGCAGAGCCATGATTCCTGGAAAAGGAGACATCGAAACACAGAACTGTGGGCCGGGGAGGCAGGAGCCAGGCTGAGTTACTCTCCAGACCATGCTTTTTGGCATTCAGGGTCCCTTACTGCAGACAGTCCCCACTGCCGGGACTGCTCCTTCTCTCTTTCTCCCAGGGAGGGAAGGCAAGGAGGCCAGCTAGTTCCTTGAACTTAGTCCCTCAACTGGGAGTGGGTCCTTGTAAAGGCCACTCCCCTGGAGTCATTCTGAGGAAAATGTAGAGGAGAAGCCACTCCCGTCCAGAACCTATAGGGAGCCAGAGCTTGCTGACAGAACTGAGAGAGGATGTCTTGAGGGCCTCCTATCCCCCTGCTTCTGCTACAGCCCCCAGCTGCTAATCCACTCCCCACATATACGGCAGGGCTCATCCTCCCCCAGCCCTGTGCCAGCTGCTCCGTCCTGATCCTCTTCCTGGCGCCCTGGCAGAGAACTCCCCCCATGCTGCGACTGGAAAGTGTTTATTTGGGTGAGAGGAGCTAGAGTACTGTGCATCAGGCCGGGCACAGTCCTGGTCCTTTTATGAGGAAAGCCTCACTTAAGCTTCCTGACCCTGGGATAATTGGGTAGGGACGATTATCTATCTTCACTTCTGTAATGGAAATCCAGGCCCAGACAAGGTAATTTGCAAGAGCGGTAATGACGGCGGCAACATTCAACGCCCAATGGGCAGGCCCTGACCAAGATCGCTCCCAGCCTCACACTCGCACTCCACAGTGTCCTCGGACATCTGTCCCGGTCTCCCCTGGAATCCCGCGCCTCCCGCCTGCCCAGAGCCCAGGGTCCATCGGGAGGCATGGCCTGGGGCCGAAGTGGGTAGGAGTGCAGGCCCTGTGTGCCAGCCTGCGCGCTGGGCGCCGCAGAGCCGCCCGTTGTTTCTGCAGAGTCACAGTCACATGGCGCTTCCGGCACCCGGTGTTCTGGGCGCAGAGCCAGGCCCGGACCCTCCCGCCTCCCCAAGTCCTGCCTCTCCCCGCCCCGCCGCCGATCTCCGAGCTCCGAGCCTTGGAGCGCGCTGGGCCTCGCGGCCTGTACCCTGCCACCAGTGAAGCCCGGATGGCCTCTCCTGCTCTCGGAGCGCCGCCACTGGGCCACCCTTAGTACTCTAGGACTGGCGAGCCCAGTATCCAGGGATTTCCTGGGGTCTGCCAGTACTTAACTCTATTCTCACCATTTACGGAGTGGCAGATACACACTGAGCCTCCCTCCCTAACCCTCTCTGACCAACCGCAAACAAAGCAAAACAAAAACCAGCCACCTTGGAGATGGTCCTTAGCACAGACCATGTAAGGGCAAAGGCCCCAGTCAGTGGGCAGAAATAGGGCTGGCCCTATTACCCTGGCCAGGCCACCACTGCTGTCACTTCCAGCACTCAGCCGTGCCCTGGAACACTTGAGAACCTGGAGCCCCATGGAAGCCACCTCTGCTTTGCTCAGCAAATTCAGGAATTTATTCAATAAGTATTTATTGAAAGCAAAATTTGTGCAGGGCAACCAAGTCCCTCCAAGATGCCAGCCCTGTATTAAGCCTTCAAAAGAATGTGAGAGGATTCTTTTCGTGTCCCAGCAGTGCCCATGCTGTCCCCAGGAGGCTCAGCTCCCCTGAGGCCTTCATCCAGAGCTGCTTGGGAAGCCCTAGCAACAGGATGAGCACAGCCATTCCTGGGACCTGAGAATGGGGGCCCTGCCTGACCCTTACTGCCCAGCCTTGGGGATGAGAGGCAGCAGGGAGCACAGGGCTGGGCTCTGGGTGAGCACGGTATGGGGTCTCTGGGCAACCTTTTCTGGTGCCTCTCATCAGGGCCTGCAGGAACTGGGACAGCAGACAAGGAGGGCCTGGAAGGGTGGAGACCTGGGAGAGGAGAAGGGACGTAGCCCAAGGTGGACAGGTGGATGGGGCAGGAGCAGCCCATGGGGCCAGAGGTGGGCATGGACATCTGCTGGGACGTATTAGGGCTTGGTGGGGAAGAGCAGACAGGTGAGTTGCCGGCTGCCATTGTGTCTGTCCACAAGGGGCAGGGGGTGCTGCATGTAGTGCTGGACCATGGCCACCACAGAGGAGAAGTGCTGGACAGAGAAGCGAGGCATCGGTGAGTCCCTGTGGCCTTGTGCTGGGAAAAACTTCCTGAAGGAACTGCTGGCCTCTGGCAAGAGGGCTTGTTGACTTTTTATAAATATTTTCCTTCCTGTTTGTGTCACAAGGCTCCATTGCCACTGTGCTACCCAACTCCTGGCCTTATGCAACTTACCTGTGACGGCACCCTGGGGCGTGCTGTTGACCAAATCATGTTTCCCAGGCCAAATGGAAATAACGCTGGGGACCTGCCTCCGCCCCTGTCCTCCAGCATGCGGAGCTGGGTGCTGGGTGACTGTCTCTAGTGTGCAGCCCAGCAAGTCCTGGGCGCCAGCTGAGCCCTGGCACAGACAGGGGTCTGGACTACCTGGGCCCTGCCCTCCTCCCAGCTGATTCACTCCAGGTACAAATGCCCCCTCCTAGGCCCTGTGCAGACTGAGACAGCAAGAGGAAGGGCCTTCTCCAGAGGAAGGTGGACCTCTGGCAACTGTCACTGGCTACTGTCATTTCCACCCACCCCAGAAAAACACAGAATGTGGGTTTTTCCCTAGGCAAACACCCCCAGCTAGGCCCAGGGCACTTCTTTGCTGTGTCCCTGTTACCCTTCAGTCCCCCACCTCATCCAGCACCCACCTCCTCGTGGTGCCTGCCCTCCCGGCCCAGGGCATAGTGGCGCCCACCATCCAGCCGCCGGATGGGAATGTTGAAGACCCGGCCATGGAGAAGCACTGCCAGGGTGAGGGGCTGGGAGCCACGGGGGCCTGAGCTGGGGCGCACGGTGTAGGCCCCGTCCTGTGGGGGAGACCCTTCCATCAGCCTCATCTTCCACGCGTGCACCTGCAGCCCTGACCCTCGATGGCCACCCCCCACGCTTTGCCCCACCATCCCTGCCTGCTCAGCCAGCCACAGACCATGAGCGGAAGGGGTTACTGAGAAGGCCCAGGGGCTCTGAGGTTGCCCACCTTTTGGCATTGGAGCAGAGCACTCTCAACAGCATGTCGGTCGCAGTTCCCTGAGTACCAAGGCTGATCCAGCAGGCCGCTGTCCTACACACACACACACACACACACACACACACTCAGAGCCTGCGTGCTGGCAAACTGGAGGGGGTGGGGAGCAGAGAACCCCAGGTGCAGTTATTTGTGTTCACAGCTGCCTTCCCCAGACTGAGTCTGTGCGAGCTGAACAAAGATGTGTTAGTGCCTGGTACCCAGCATGGTGCCACATGCGCGTGTTCAATGCGAGTTGCAGTGGTGGACACAGCCCAAGAGCGTGCCTGGCAGGCCTCCTCCCCCAGCCCTCTCCCAGCCCCTCCTCACCTCAGCAGCTGCGGTGCTTCTGGTGGGGGCTGCAGAGGACAGAGAGGAGCTCCTTCCTGCTGGAAGAAGCAGATCATAGCGCTGGGGCTGGGAGGGGATTAGACAAAGGAGGCTTGGGGCCCAGCCGCAGGGGTGGGGGAGGTTGGAGGGGCGTGTGCATAGGGCGGAAACCCGTAGCAGGGCCCCCGGTGTTTCACCCCTCCTCTCCAGGTCTGGGGCTCTGGTGGGACCCACCAGCGAGGCCACACGGGGCCTCTAAGTGAGGGGTGGTCCTGAAGTACAGGCTGGGAGCCTTCTGCTTTGATGCAGACCCTAGAAAATGCCCAATTGGGTCTCAGGCTTGCTCTCAACTGGAGGCAGAGCTGCAGGGACCCCCTCAGCAAAGTGGGGTGAGTGGGGCTGTGAGAATGTCTGTGACTCGCGGGCTGTGGCTGGGGTGGGAGCTGGCAGGACCCCCCAGGGTTTGTATTGAAGATGTCTCTACTCGCCTTTTGAGATGGCATTCGCGGCTTCCTGGGACACAGGAGGTCTGGTCAGAAGCTACTTGGCCCTGCAGGCCTGCTGCTCTGGGCCTGAAGTCCCACCTCCAGTCTCCTTCCCTCCCTGCTCACTTCCCCCAACCACAAGCCTCTTACATTCTGGGCTTCTTGGGGGGCTCTGGTGGGCCTGGGGGGAGGAAATTGGGGAACAGAGGTCAAGGTCTTTACTTCCTTCACAAGGAAAGGCCCAGTGAACCCAGAGGTCCCAGGGTCAGGGCTGGGGAAGCCTGTGTACCTCCCTCTCTCTCTCTCTCACACACACATACACATACTCACACTCACACACTCACATGCACCTGGTGGGGCACTTACCTGTGTACTACTGATGTCCTTGGCAGAGGGACTGGGGGCATCGGGCCCTGGGAGCTCAGAGTCTGAGGCAAAGCAGGGACTAAAACAGAGGGCAGGCCCTGCTGGGCTGGGAGCGAGGCTAGAACGAACACCTCACCGGCCAGGGAGGGGCTGAGGCCAGCTGCAGGGCCTGGCCTGCCGCTGCCCTGCAGCCTGGTTTCCTGGGAACCTTCCAACCAGGCTGCAACCGCTGGGCAGTCCCCCCACAGCCCAGGCTCTAGGGGGTCCCTCCCCTGCGGCCCCTGCAGAGGGCCGACTGGGACCGAAGGAGGAAGTATGTGTGCCCCTGCATGTGTCCAAAGATGAGAGTGTGTTGGTGGGGGTGGTGAGAAAAGACGAGGGAGGAAAATGGAGTCAGACATATGTGTCTTGCTGCAGGCAGCTGAGGGCCTCAGGGCGTGATGGATCTGGGGCAGAGGGAAGTGTTCACCTGGGCTGGGCTCACACTCCAGGTAGATGTCCTCTTCAGGTTCCTTTGCAGAGCCTGGCACCTAAGGGAGAGAGGGAGGGGTGTGTGGGACCCAGGGTTTGACAAGTGAGTGGGAGGGAGGGCAGAGCCCCCACTGGGGGTGGGGAGTAAACCTCTTTCTGGGAGCCAACTGGAATGATTAAAACTGCTCCCTGGCCTAAAAGGGGGGCACCGCACGAGCGTCTTCCCTCTCAGAGATGCTCCCAGGCTCCAGTTCTCAGAGTGTGTGTGGCCAGGGGGAGCTCTGGGCAAGGCCATCCCCAGTAGCTCTGGGCAGCACCCCCAGGACAAGTGGCTGACACCCTGCCAGGGGCCTGTGGCCAGCAGGGAGGGACTCAGCTCTGGGCCTTTTTCCTCGATCTCAGGGACATTTCCCGGCCCTCCCAGGCACCCCACACCAACCCTGCCAGCTCCCTAGCCAGAACCCTAGAGTGTGAGTTGGGGATGGAAGGGCTGCTCACCACGCGGGCTGGTGCAGTCAGCTCTGGGAGGAAAAGGAGAGGAGCGTCAGTCATAAGCGTGGGGAGAAAGGAACTGAGTGACACAGGCTGGAGGAGTGGAGCATCCTTCAATCTTATCCGGGGGTGTCCTCAGAGCTAACACCGAAGCCCTGGTGGGAAGCCACCCTCACCACCGTCACCTTACTTCCCAACCCCAAGGTGCTGCCTGACTTGACCTCCCAATTGATTTGCCAGGGTTGGCTCCAAATGACTTTGAGCTGTTCCAAAAATCAAACCCCCGTCAAGGGCATGAAGGTTTACCAACCACTGAGCATGTAAAACACAAATGTGCCTCAGGTTAGCTGACCTTGCGCAGGAGGAGGCTGCCCCTCCTGGGGCCCCTGTCAGACAAAAACGTGCTGGCTAAGATCCCTCCCCCGTCTGACATCCAGGGCTCTGGCGTCATAGGCCTCCAGGCACTTACCTTAGGGGACAGTCTCTGGATGGTGGAGGCAATAATGACATGAATGGAATCAGAGGGCCCCTTGGTAGGGGGTGACATTCAGATGTGTCTCAATAGTGAGGGTGCTTCAGGCAGACCAGGCGCCCTGCAGGCCCCTCACCTGACTGGAGACCACAGCGGACTCTGCTTCTGTGTGATCTCAGGCAAAGCAGCTCGTGTCTGGGGCCTCAGTCCCCTCAACTGCCCACCTTAGCGGGGATCGGCAGGGCAGGTGAAAACAGGGAGCAGCTGGGGGTGTGCAGTGACCGGGTACAGCACGAGACCAACTGCAAGGCCGCTCAGCTCTGCCCCTGTGGGGCTGGACTCCCCTCTCAGGGCAGGGGGGAGTGTAGGTCTTGGAGAGAGAGGACGTCCCCATTACCTCGCCACCCAGAAGGCTGTCTCTGCCTCACGGCTTCCTGCAGGTTCAGGGCTGACTTCAGCTGTGGACACAACGAGTGGTGAGGGAGAACCGGGTGCAGAGGGGTGCGGAGGGGAAACAGGCACGGGGAGGCAAGGATGGTAGGGCAATGCATAGCTATGCCAAAAACAGTGACACCAGAGTTAATGTGCAAGGGGGTGACCTTCCCTTTGCCTCGATCCTGTGGCTCTTCGTCGTGAATCTCTCCTTGGTTTTCTTTTTGTTCCAATAAAAGTGAATGATGAGAGCGGTAGCTTTCAAAGCCCAAAGCAGGATTGTGGGGGATGAGAGCTGGCCATGATTGGCGGCTAAGTAGGGCATTTCTTCCCTCTTCAGTGGGGCAGGGTCCTTGGGCCCTGGGGTCCCAGGAGGGGCAGCAGAGCCTGTTTTGTCTCCTTCCCCCCAACCTTCCCACCTCTGGCCAGAAGGCAAGTCCTGGGTGATGCTGACTGGGAGGATGAAAGGACCAGGCCAGACAGAGGGAGCAGTGACTGTTCACAGGGTTCAGGCTTCTGATGCATCTAATTTTTCAGGGGTCTCTTGAATGCAGATGGGGGGGTCTTGCAAATGAGATGCCTCTTAGATTTATTCACAGGAAACGGTAGCCTGGGGTGGGGCAGACAGGAAAGGGGGAGCTTGTACAGAGATTGTTCACCTTTTCGGGCTCAGGCTCCAGTGCTGATGACTTGGATGGGCCCAGGGGGCCAGAGTGATCTGGAAAAGACCCCAAGCATTGTGAGTCACTAGCTCCTCCCAAGTAGGTTCCCATTTTCCTCCCGCCCCACACCTAGCCTCTGTTTCCTCCTCTCTCCCTCCTTGCCCTCCCAGCTTACTGGCTTCCCGACAGTCCTGTCTCCATGGCAACTGGAGACGGCCAGCTTCCCTGCCCCTATCTGGCCAGCCTGGAGAGCTGCAGGGGTGGGGGTGGGATGCCAGTGGGTTCTCTGGGCACCTCTACCCTTGCTGTGAGACTGCGGGGATCTCTGAGAAGGAACACCAGGCCCCCGGGACCGAGTGGGGCCTCCAGCTTTCCCACTGTTGCCTTGGTTACGCTGCCCCTCCAGACTCCCCTCCCTTTCCCAACTTCTGCCTTCCTTCTCCCCTCCTCCTCTCTTCCTTTCTCCATTTCTCTCTCTCTCTCTGTCCCTGTTCATTCAAAAGGCCCCAGCAACTGCCAGCTGAGGCATCCCATCACTGCCCGGCAGACACAAAAGAGAGCAGGTCTTCGGCCTCTGCCCTTGTGGGGACCCTCCTGTCCTGCCCGGCCACCCAAACTTTCTGCCTCCACTTCCCAGCCCTCACCCAGGTACAAAGAGTCCTCTTCGGTTCCAGGAAGGTGGGCAGGGACTAATTTCCTGAGCGGAGCCTCACAGGGGGGCAGCTCATATTCATCTTCCTCTTCTCCCTCCTCTTCCTGAGCCTTCGGGAAGGAGTAAGGAGCACAGGGAGGGTGGAAGAAGTGCAGCAAAGGTGGTGGCCCCTGCCTTCCCCCACCCCCAGCCCCAGGCTCAGCAGCTGGACTTACCCTGTGTCTCCAGGCCCCGGGGGTAGGCAGAGGAGACAGGCAGGAGACCTCTGTTCTCCACCCTGGAGAGTCTGGAGGGGAGACTGATGAGACTGGCCTCATCTCCTCCCAGCCCACCCCTGTCTAGCACAATGACTTTCTCTCCCCAATACAATAAACCATCTGCACTTCCACAGCGGGACTCAATGCTTCATTTGGCTCCAAGGAACCATTCACGAAGGGCCTTTCCAGCACTGCAGCAGGGCCAGTGACGCAGGCATCGTGGAACGTCTCCCAGTGAGCTGCCTGCTGCACCTAGGCCAGTCCCTACCCCACGCGCTTCTCATTCTGACCCAGGCAGATGGCAGAGCTAGGCCCCAGTGACTCAGCAGTGCTGGACTATGAGGAGCACAGATGGTGAAAAGGCCACTCAGGGGAGACTCAAAATTACAAGGGACCTTGTTCTGCCAGACCCCCCTCACCCACTGTGTCACTTACCTACACATTTGGGGGGTGGAAGGGGTGGTCCCAGCCTGCAATAAGACTGTAGTCAACTCTGCCCAAGCGACCCTTGAGTTTTTGTCAGCCAGGCACTGCACTGTCCCAGGCCATTCACATCCACGACCATGTGAATGGAGCCCCTTGGAGCTGTGTGACAGCAGCCTGGGGCAGGGCAGCAGGAGTTAAGACCTGAGGACAAGGCTAGTGACCCTGGGTACACAGCTGGGTGAGCCGGTGCCCAAGAGCAGCTGGTAGTGGGCGAGCCCTAGTGCTCACAGAGCGGTGGATGCAGGGTCCCACTGGGTGGGCAGGGAGGGCCCAGGCACAGCCAGCACCGCTCCAACGGCGGCTGTGTCCAGGGAAGGGGTGGCGAGGTGGAGGCAAGAGAAGGGTAGATGGAAAGTGAGGAGCTAAGTACTCACCGGGGCTTGCTCCCCCTGAGCTTGTCCTGGAAAGAGTCAGGGAGGGGGGTCAGGGAGTGGTCAGTTCAGCTGGGTGCCTTTTCCTGCCCAGAGTCCAGGGCTCCCACGGGTGGGCAGGTTTGTGCACCTGGGGCTGCCCCAGAACCAAGTCTCACCATGGCCAAGGTGAAGGAGCTGTGCCTCCCTAAAGTCCAGCTTCTGCCACAAAGGGCCTGGGGACAGAGCCCCTATTGTTCCCATTATTTGCATCTCACAAGCACCTGGAAGGTGGGCCTGCTGTGGCTTCCAACCCCAGACCAACTTCACCCACTGCGACGCCAGGGCCCAGCTCCCGCCCCCACGGCTGTGCTCTCCAGCCCCTCCGCCCCACAGGAGGAAGGGCTCTGCCCTCCGCACCCAGGCCTGCAAAGTGAGACGGGGATCGGTGGCTTCCCACAGCTCTCTGATCAACTTCCCCTCCTCCTGGAGGCTCAGACTCACCTGGGATCAGCCAGACCAACCCTTTCCCAATTCTCAGAAGACAGGACATTAATGGGCAGATCCAATTAAAATCAGGAAATTGCCCTTGCAGACCCTTTTCTTAAATCCTTTATACCTGCTGTCACTTGCTGATGAGTTGTGATCAATAACCAAGGAAATGGAGGTTAGTGACAAGCTCAGAGACATGCAGTCCTATTTACTTTGAAAGCTTCTTTTTCTGATGGGTGTATTTGTTCATTCAGTGGGTATTTATTAAACATCCACTATACACCAGACACTGAGCTGAGGGTGCTGTAGGAAAACTGAACGGCAGGCAGTACACGTGTATTTCCTCAATGGATTCTCACAATAGCTTCACGATGCAAGGACTGGTTTTATCCTTGCTTTTCAGATGAACAAACCGAGTGTATGAATCAGCTCAGGCTGCCATCACAGAATACCACAGTTGGGGTGGTTTAAACAACAGAAATTTATTTTCTCTTCTGGAGGCTACAAGTCCAAGATCAAGGTGTCATAACAGTTGGTTTCCAGTGAGAGCTGTCTTCCTGGCTTGCAGACAACTTCTTGCTGTGTCCTCACATGACCCTTCCCCTGTGCTTGTGGGGACAGAGCTCTCTGGTGTCACTTTCTCTTTTTTAAATTAATTAACTTGTTTATTTATTTACTTAAAAATATATTTAATCTTCACCCGAGGGCATTTTTCTCATTGCTTTTATTTTTTTAAAGATTTTATTTATTTATTCTTTCAGAGAGAGGGGAAGGGAGGGAGGCAAAGACAGAGAAATATCGATGTGAGAGAGAAACATTGATCAGGCTCTCGTATGTGCTCCAACCAGGGACTGAACCCACAATGCAGGCATGTGCCCTGACCGGGGATCAAACTGGTGACCTTTCACTTTGCTGGATGTTGCCCAACCAACTGAGCCACACCAGTCAGGGCTCTCATTAGCTTTAGAGAGGGAAGAAGGGAGAGAAAGGAACATCAACGTGAGAGAGAAGCATCAATTGGTTGCCTCCTGTAGGTGCCCAGACCAGGGATCAAAATGGCAACCTATGTATATGCCCTGACCAGGGATTGAACTGGCAACCTTTCATTACTCTGTGATGCTCCAACCAACTGAGCCACACTGGCCAGGGCTGTTGTCAATTTCTCTTATAAGGACACCAGTCCTGTTGAATCAGGGCCTCATCCTTATGACCTCATTTACCTCGCTAAAGGTTCTATCTCCCAATACAATCACATTGGGGGTTAGGGCTCCAACATATGAATCTTGTGGGAACACAACTCAATCCATAGCACTGAGAGACTCTGAGAAGTTGAATGACTTTCCCAAGGGGACGTAATTAGTAAGTGTGGAAGGTGGGTTTCAACCCAAAGTTTGCCCGGCCCAGAGCCTGTGCACAAATAACTGAGCCACCCTGAGCTTCACCTAGGGTTGGGTCCTGACCCCACTTTCCTGTGATGAACTTGGACACATGGTACTCTCGGACTTCCTTAACAAGCCCATGACTTCCGGTGCTCTGTAACCTGAGTGAGTTTAGGAACTTTGACTTCTGGGAAGAGTTGGAGGACAAAGAAGGACTGGAGCTCGGTGTCTGATTCTGTTGAAACCAGGAAACGGGAAAACACAGCCCGGGATCACGAATGTAAGGCCTTTCTGGGGCACTGTGACTTTCCTGTGTTTTTTACTTTGGGGAGGTCCTGGCTGTTGGCACGAAGGAGAACTGAAGGCCATGGGCTTGCGTCTTTGGAGGCCACGGTGCTGGGGGCTATGCAGAGAGAGCACCGGGGCTGGGACTGCCACCGCCTTCAGAGAGGAAGACCAGGTGATTTCTGAGACCTGCAGGTGAAAAGCGCTTAAGAAGCCATGAAGAGTCACTGGGGTGGCTTAATAGGGAGCCTATTTGGTGCAGTGGGAAAAGCGAGAAGACAAAAACCAAAGAGACAGTCCAGGCCCGGAGTCAGAGGTGGGGTCTCCACCCTGACATCCACTCCCCAGCTGACCTTTGTTCCACATCTGGACCATAAGGACAGGTGGCAACTAACCTCACCCGAGGAGACCTCCTATGACACCAGAGTCAGCAAGTCAAAGGATTACTTCTCCTATGTACCCAGACTGGCAGCCTAGGTATGTACCCTGACCAGGAATCGAACCCTCAACCTTTCTATTACGGACTAGGCTCCAACCAACTGAGCCAAACCAGCCAGGGCAAGCAATACAGATTTCAAGATACTTTACATACCACCCCACTGCAAACACCAAACTGAGTGGGTTTCCTAGTCCATACTGCCTTCAACTCAGCCACACCCTCCCTCCATGCAGGGCTTTGCATAGGCAAATGTCAGGGCCTAGGTGAGCCAAAGGGCCCCAGGCAGAGGGTGGAATCCCCACCATCTCGGGGCAGTCACTGGCCTGGACAGATCAGGGAGAAGGAAGAGGAAGGAGGCCTGCCTCCTGGCTCTGCCTCCCCCCACCCCCCAAGCCAGGCCTGCAGCACTGCATCCTGCTAGTCACACGGGCACAAGTGGACATCCTCAGTCTCCCGCTTTGGCACAGGACTGCTTTGTGCACGACCATGGCTACTTCCTTGGGATGAGTTTACTAGAATTTCTGTAAACCTATTTTGAAGGTGTCAGGGCACCACTGTCTGGCAGCACATGACTCCCTGTTTTATGGTCCTTCCAGAGCACAAAGTGATTCTCCCCGTCCATTATTCAGGTTCTGGTCTCCGTTGAGAACAGCCCATAATTTACAGGCCCAGGTCAGTCTAAGTCCACCCAAAGGAAATAAACAGCTACCAGGAGAAGTATTTCCTGGTCTGTGTGATCATAAGAATCACTAGAGGACTTGTCAAACGTCTTGGATTCCTGGCCTTCCTGAAATCGTGAGAACTGGATGCTCCAGGAGAGAATTAGGAATCTAGATTATGCCAAGCAAGCATCCTAGATCAATCTGGTGATCAGTCAAGTTTGAGAAAGGCTGTTCTGTGGGAGCCTGAGAAGACGTGACTGCTGGGACACTTCAAGGATCACGTGCACCCTGTAGCTCATTGGGAAACAAGGGTCCCCAGCAGAGAAGGAGCAGGACACAGACCCTGCTCTCAAGGGGCCACTGTGAGCGAGAGAGGAGCAAACCCAAAGATGGGCTCCGGCTCTCCGGGCTCCCATCTCCTCGTGCGTAAATGGGGGTATTAATAAGGCATTCCTCCTGGCAGGGGCCGGGGGTGGGTCTCAGGGCCAAATGACATGACGACATGTGAAACTACATAGTGTGCACAGTGGATGCCAGCTCTTCTCGAGTGGTGGTGCCATGGCTGAGACGGCTGTCAGCAGACAGAGAAGGTGGTGGTGTCTAGCTGGGACCCCTGGTGGAGCACAGTAGGGAGCAGTGTGCGGACAGGTGGTTTCTGAGAAGTTGAAGGGCAGGTAACCAGGCTGTAGCTTGAGGTCTCAGACGTGAGGGGTGTGGCTCGTAAAGCAGGAGCTGCTGAAACAGAGGTGGCTGGACTCCCAGAGAACTGACGGGGACATCTGCCTTCCTGCGTTTCCTACCTCTGGGCGCTCTCCATCAAGAATATTCCTTCCTTTCACAGAAGCCAGATGAGGCCTTCCCAGGCTCCCTTGCAGCTGGGGTGCAGGCATTCTGCCAATCAAATGCCCTCGTGCTAGACTTTGAATATGAAGCAGGCACAAAGAGGACTCCACCCTGGGAAGAGGTGACAACCATATCCTGTCTCCAGTGGCCGAGGAGACTGAGATCCTAGTGGTCCTGCCCGGGGTCTGGGTCAGTTGTGCTGCAAAAGGTGGTATTTGTGCTCAGGGGTGCCTCCAATAGGCCAGCTTGGCTGTAACCTTTGGGGCATGGTCCCTGGCTGGTTCTGTAGCCCTCCTGGAAAGGCTGTGAGCTACAGAATTCTTTTAATCAATTATTTGTCAGCCTGAAGTAGAGTTCTAATTTAGAGAGGAAAGTGCAGCATCAGTGAAATGACCCCTTGGAAGCCAGGAGTCTAAACCCTGCAGCCAGGTGCACACATCTCCCAGGAAGGTCAGACCAGGTAGGACTGTGCCACAGCTTTGTATTTCTAGACTCTCGAGATGTTCATTATGACAAACACTAACTATTTTCTATGATTAAAAATAAAAGTCAATACAGATACATTTATTTATTTATTTATTTTTACTCTCACCCAAGGCTATTTTTTCATTGCTTTGAGAGAGAGAGCTATGGAGAGAGAGAAACATCGACGTGAGAGAAAAACATTGATTGGTCGCTTCCCCATGTGCCTGGACCCACAACCTAGGTGTGTACCCTGACCAGGAATCCAACTCACAACCTTTCCATTACCAACTGAGTCACACAAGCCAGGGCAATCAATACATGTTCCAAACACAAGGAAGTGCTGGAAGAAGAATGTCCTAGGGGCAGGTGGGGCCCTCTAGATGGGAGGTGAGGCCAAGGGTAGGGCCTGGGAAGGTGAGGGCAGCATAGGACCGCCAGGTTCCCTGTGGCCAGGGAAATAGAGGGAGAGGGCACTGAGAA